CTCCTCCTCCTCCTCCCAAGGTTATAAACCCTTAAGCACTCTCAAGCTCAGGAAACTGCGCTGCACTCGTAATCTCACAAGAGATAAGATATAACTTTTTTTCCCAAGCCAATTAAGGTTCTAATAGCAAGTTATCATTATTTAATTCTGAATATCAAAAGCTCCTAGTTATGCATAGCATTGCTAGTAGTCTTCTATTTGAGCTAATACTAATGATATAAAATATATTACAGGTGTCCCGTGTCTGATGTCAGTATCAGCATTACGGTGTAATGCTACGAAGATGTGAACTGCGCAGTAGAGCCAGAAAGTGATGTTGCTGCGTCAGAGTTAGAGACAGAGTAGTTAGAAATATCACTAGCAATTTTGTAGACGAAATAAAAAACAAGAAAAATATTAGAAAATGATAAAATAGTTATGAAATTCATGTGAGTACAGAATTACCTGAAACTGAAGCATAAGGAAACATAGCGTCAGGTTTGGAGGAACGAGGCTAGGCTATTAGAAGGAAAATTAAGATTAAACACTTGAAGAATGAGTTCAACGGAACAAGTGCATTAGTCAACAGTGAAACCATACAGTGAGAAAAAAAAGAGATAAAGCATTTGTTTATGGCAAGAATGGTGGAAATAGAAAAGTGTGAGACAGTGGTAGAGAGAATTCGTTCATATCTCCTCTACATACGTGGCAAGTTGATGTAGCATTATTAAGGTATATAGACAGACTGGTTATAAATGACCATAATTTTTAAAGGGGTGGACCGGTAAGCCAGCGGAAGGCCTCGGTCAGATGACCAAAAGCTCCAAAGGCGGGTCATCATCTGACTAAGACCCTCGTCAGGAAACATTTATCCTGTTTCCTGACGAACCTTACCTAACCTTGATGTAGCAGCAACTCAGAGAGACGTTAAAGCGTAAAGTGCGTGTGGAGAGGATGATAAACATTCTCTCCGGTACTAAATATTGGAATAAAGTAGGTACCATGATTATATTAACACAACCTACATGTATGATCACCAGAACTAAGGTTATATACATTCTATATATATTCTAAACACTATTCATTATTTCCTAAAGTTTCATAAAAATTATTAGTAAATGTACTGATACTTGAAGATACGTACATTCTTAAGTGGTATTGATAACTGTATATTGAAACAGCTAATGACACGGTTGATATCGTCAACTGCGTATCATCCATTTGAGTTATCATAATGCTTTTATGACGGTGTGTGTACTTTGAGTGACACTGTCCAACAACCTCACCTGTCCAGGCAAATTCCTGACCCTCTGACTGTCTTATTCATCGATGTAAACAAACTGCGTTGCCTTACAATGGTGGTATCCTCAAGAACACCACTGCTTACGTAGGATGATGGTATTCTTACTAAATGTTTATGTTGTTCTTTGCAAAGTCAGGAAACGGCCTTGGTCATACGAAGACAGTTCTAGTGGATCTTAGTTATAGGAAGAGTTTTAGTGGGTCTTAGTCATACGAAGAGTTTTAGTGGGCCTTAGTCATACGAAGACAGTTTTAATGAGCCTTAGTCATACGAAGACAGTTTTAGTGGGCCTTAGTCATAGGAAGACAGTTTTACTGGGTCTTAGTCATACGAAGACAGTTTTAGTGGGCCTTAGTCATACGAAAACAGTTTTTGTGGATCTTAGTCATAGGAAGACAGTTTTAGTGGGCCTTAATCATACGAAGACAGTTTTAGTGGGCCTTAGTCATACGAAAACAGTTTTTGTGGATCTTAGTCATACGAAAACAGTTTTAGTGGATCTTAGTCATAGGAAGACAGTTTTAGTGGGTCGTAGCAGTAGTGGGTGGTGTAAAAGAAGTAGCTCGCACTGGGGTGACTCAAGTCACAGCGAACTGGTATCTCCACTGTGATAACCCACACAAGTGTTGCAACCATTAGCCATTAGTGTGTTAACAGTGGTGTACAACGATGGTGATAGTCTTCTTAAACTCACACACGAAGAAAGAAAAAACACTCGGTGTTGCAATCGCAACATCCCGGGGTTCAATTCCCCGGCACACAGAAACATTCTTCATCTCTCCTTATACCCCTGCTCGCCCAGCAGGGAAAAAAAAGGACGTACCCCTGTGTTGCATTCAGGGGGAAAAAATTGTGTCAGAAAACTCCAGTCCTGCTGGAATGTCATATCCCGTGTAAGAAAATATTCCAGTCCAGTGTGAAAGAAATGAAAAAAGAAAAAAATTCAGTACCTGCTGGAAGTATTCAGCTGTTGGGTAAAAGGTATCCAGGTGGAGGCCTTGATATCACTAAAAAGCTCCTGATCCAGGGAATTGAAGCAATTCTTTTCTCTAAGCAAACCTGATTATCCTATTCTTCCATCCTTTCAGTTCTCCAAACAATATATGTATAATATATATATATAATATATATATATATATATATATATATATATATATATATATATATATATATATATATATATTATATATATATATATGTCGATACGATCGATTCCCCTGAATATTAAAGTGTATATAGTGTTATTCTATTGCTAGTCGAGGGAGAACATAACCATTTGTGAAGTAGTAAGATAAAAGATAAGATAAAATATGTAAGACAGGTGGCCAGATAATGGGTGGGAATCCTCGTTATCAAATACCGGATGTTCAGTCATTTTTGACTCATAGTGAAAATTGTGTTATTATAGCGCTCCGCCAGTATACTTGTATGACAACACCGTTGTTAACATACTTAATGTGGTTACTACTACTACTAATATATATATATATATATATATATATATATATATATATATATATTAAATATATATATATATATATATATATATATTATATATTATTGTAACCACGAACGAGTGGTATTGATCAATAACAACACTGCACTAGGCAAAGACTCGTACCCATGTTGTACTGGCCCACCTCATGGTGACCTAGAACCACATGACGCCTTAACCCACAGGATTGGGTGGTCCTGTTTCCTTACAAACTTACCTCGGTATATATACAGTTAAATTTTATACTGATAATTGCATGAGAGATGAGAAGTTCCATGAATGGTAGTGTACAATACCCCCATCCATCAATGTGCCCCTGTACGCTCACAGAGCCTTAACATAAGCGAACAAGAGCCTTAATAAGTCTCGTGTAGTCGACAGGGATTAAACCTTATACACCAACCAAGTAACACCATCCGAAACACCTGACTAACCAAAATAACATATTCTGACAGCGCTGACGATACCCGCCCTAACATTCTCACACACACACAGTTACCTGATGTCTGGGCGTACGTTAAGTAGCTATGAATATTAATAGCAGTAATTTGAGCATAATAAATTCACTAACACTACGCTCTGAATACGAACACTAGAAGCAGCCTAATGTTCCTCCCAAGCTACGTTCACTAGAGAGAGAGAGAGAGAGAGAGAGAGTAGTAGAGAGTGAGAGTGAGAGAGAGAAATTCACGCAGACTTGTGAGAAAGTGAGATAAGAAAATAATCGAGTGTGAAATGGAAGGAAGACCCATGAAAATAGTAATTTTGATTCTTTAATACAGTCAATCTATGATCCCTAGAGAGTTAGTGATTCCCTTTAAAAATTATAATAATAATAAAAATAACAATATTATTATTATTATTATTATTATTATTATTATTATTATTATTATCATTATCATTATTATTATGATCTCTAGGGGTGGAAGTGTGAGGGAAGGTGGGAGGGGAAGTGGGAGGTGAAGTGGGAGGGGAAGTGGGAGGGGAAGTGGGAGGTGAAGTGGGAGGGAAGTGGGAGGGAAGTGGAGGGAATTGGGGGGTGAAGTGGGAGTGAAGTGGGAGGGGAAGTGGGAGGGGAAGTGGGAGGTGAAGTGGGAGGGGAAGTGGGAGGTGAAGTGGGAGGGGAAGTGGGAGGTGAAGTGGGAGGGGAAGTGGGAGGTGAAGTGGGAGGGAAGTGGGAGGTGAAGTGGGAGGGGAAGTGGGAGGTGAAGTGGGAGGGGAAGTGGGAGGTGAAGTGGGAGGTGAAGTGGGAGGGGAAGTGGGAGGTGAAGTGGGAGGGAAGTGGGAGGGGAAGTGGGAGGAGAAGTGGGAGGTGAAGGGTGAGGGGAAGTGGGAGGGAAGTGGGAGGGGAAGTGGGAGGTGAAGGGTGAGGGGAAGTGGGAGGTGAAGTGGGAGGGGAAGTGGGAGGTGAAGTGGGAGGGGAAGTGGGAGGGGAAGTGGGAGGTGAAGTGGGAGGACAAGTGGGAGGGGAAGTGGGAGGGGAAGTGGGAGGTGAAGGGTGAGGGGAGGCAGCTGCGCCCACTTCCTCTCTGCTGGGAATATAACCTTTTATTCTTGCTTCATGTATATTATGACGCACTGGTAGCGACCACACGAGTGAACAGCCCATGATGCAACCTTCCTCACCCACGCCTACACCCACGCCTGCACTCACGCCTGCACCCACGCCTGCACCCACGCCTGCACTCACGGCCACACCTTCATCTACACCTACAACCACGACCACTTCTGCATCCTACACACAGGACCCACACGCAGCTGTAAGAATTGGTATGACAGGGCTCACCAGGCCAGGAGAGAGGAGCTCCAAGTCGAGGCAAGGTAGCGAGGGACCAGGAGCTGAGATTTAACCTCTGTTAACCACAAATCAGTGAGAACACACACGTACACACATACACACACACACACACACACACACACACACACACACACACACACACACACGCATACCATATCCACTTCAGGGTATAAAACGAGATTACATTCAGTCCTCTCAGCCCACTTTCCCATCAACACATGATAGAGTGTCGAAGCTCACCTATGAATGGCTGAAGAGACGGCCATGACCAGATTGCCTTGAGTGTTATGTTTCCAGAGAAAATGCAAAGGGAACGAACGATTTAAGACGAATTGGCGAAGGATGCAGCAGGAAAGATGATAACTAGGTCAAGGTCATGGTGTGGCGAGGGAGCAATGTTGTGGCTAATTCAGGGTTCTGTAGTA